AGAAGTTTTAAAATTTGAATAAATCATTAGAAAAAGCATTTTTTTAACCAAAAATATTGAAAGAAATTCATGGCAATTTTCAACCTTTTTAATCTTTATGTTCTTAGTAAGTACAGCTCTCTATCCCAAAAAATTTTCACTTAAAAACTAGGAATTTCTCAAACAGCACTTTGCAGTTTACTTAAACGAAGAAAAATATACCGTATTTGACGGCATATAAGACGCACTATTTTTCCTAAATTTGGTCTAAAAAAAAAAGTTACCTGCGTCTTATACGTGAAGGACACTGTCTTATATGTGAAGGTAATTGCATTCAATAATTGTTTATTTGGCTTTTACGAAATGTAAGAACTAAAAGAAGCCATGCTATTGAAACTTTTTTTTTCTTGTGTGTGGCCGTCTAAATAAGGGTGTGTCTTATATGCCGTCAAATATGGTAATTGATGAACTAAAATGCAAATGTCTTAAAGAAGCACTAAAAAAGATAGACAAATGAGAGATGCTGACATTGCTTCTCTACAATGATTTCAAGCTATAAATCTAAAAAAATGCTTCTATTTCTAGAGCTTTTCTTATTAATTTGCTAAATGATAGAAGATAATTTTACATTAACTGATGTAATGAGTTACAAGATGGAAAGAGAAATTCAACATTGTTCATCAGAAATTACATGATGAGAAGTAAGAAGTGAATGATAATGTATCTGATGTTTATGTGGGCTGCTAAGTGAATACAAGTCACATGAAATTTGTAATACAGATGAAATGGACTGTTATTGAATATTACCAGAACATGCATTAATATTTAAAAATAAAAGAAACTGAATGAATAAATTACTGTGTTATTTACATATATAATATGGACCCAGTAATCAAGAAGACAACAGAGGTTACTGGCAAAAGTAGAAAGCCTGGATGTTTGAAAGAAACCGAAAATTTACTTCCAACTGCCATAGCAACAAGAACTCATAGATGATAAATAATATAGGGTGTTCTCAAAATCCCTAAACAACTTTAGTGTACTATCATGAGCATTCTATAAGAAGTAGTGCTAGAAATTTTTATGGCATTATTATACATACATCAAAGTTTTTTCCTCAACAGTTTGTTTTGGTTTAATATTCACATAATGTAAGGATTTAGGGAGTCTGAAAATCCTCATGTCCTAAGAAAGTTGAAGTGGGACAGACCAAAGGGAAATGTTTAGCATGGAAGCTGCAAACAAGATTTTAGGACCTTTTCCCTTCAGGGAACAAACAATAATAGCAAGAGTTTACCTTGATACATTGCTTAAATTCATCTACAGTTCGATAACAATCAGCAAGAGGTCATGTTGCTGTATATGAAGGTTTGTTACTAATGTCACTTGTCACAAAAGCTTTGAACCTTGTTTGTGAATGTGTGACAGGTACCAAAGGTATAAATTGTTCCTTTCTAAAAAAACAAGCTGTTAAAATTCTTCAAGGACTTTGTGGACATTCCATTATTACTAATTTCTTTTTAAATGATATGAACTGAAAAATAAAAAATATTTTATGAATTAGATAACTGTGCAGCACACACATTTCTAATCTAATTCTAAAAAACAGTAGTGTCCCTTTTTGCAAATGTAACTTTTAATATTTAACTTTTAATTTTAGGGTATTAGAAAAGCTTTCAAATATTACAGAAAAGATATTCAGTAAATGACAAACAAAGCTGAATTTTATGAACATGTAAGGATTTTAAAGAAGATAGTAAGTCAATATCTCTGCTAGAAGCTATGCGTCAATGCAATGTGTTAATCTCTTAAAATAAGTTAAAAACTGTTTTAAAAAAGTGTGGCTTTTAGAAGCCGAAGAAATCACAAACGACAGAGGGTTATGAATTTTTTAAATATAAAACACTACAATATGACAAATAATTCAAGTGTATAACAAAAAGACTGTGATGAAAAATTGTGTTAAAAGAATGGTAGAACTACAACTGAAAGTGAGGGCAGAAAAAAGCAGAGCGAGCCATGCCATCATCAAACAAATCTAGAAATGTTAAAAAAGTTCTTAACCGAAGGTCATGATCGAAAAAGCTATCAGCAATTTTTACAAATTGAGATCGCAATTAGCAAAACTGATGTTGAAATAATTATAATAATTACAGATGGAAAGTTATTGTGAAAATTAATAATTGCAAAAGACTCTAATTTAAAAATATTTTTGAAAACATTTTAGATGAATTAAAAATAGATAAATAATTTATTTTGATGTTATAAAGATATATTGATAGTCAAGTGTCTGGTGGAAATTTCGAAGTCACAGTTTGTTTTTAGAACTCTAAAAAACGTCATAGTTTGGTGGATGATGCTACTGGCAGTCAATGGGAAAATAAGAAATACGGTAGCCATTAAATTTTTATTACAATAAAAATTGTTTCAGTTGGTACTCTATAGTAATTTTCTAAAAGTCAGCTAAACGTTATCTTGACGCATAAGCTTGAAAAAGTTAATTCTTGTGCATAAAAGAATTTTTATGTGGACAATAAAATTGAATTATAAATTTTAAATAGAATATTATGATCAGGACGTGTGTATTGATCTTTATTGAAATAATAATTCCCATTAGATTTTTAAATATTGTATAAAACGACAAATAATGTATGCACGCAAACTCGCCACTGTAAACTCTCATCTTTCTGTTTTAATATGAATGCTTAAAAAAGAATATTAGAATTAAGCTTGTAAAAATTAATCATTGGCATCAAAATTTTTTAACATTTCTATATTTCTTCAATTATCATATTGCTATTTTTTTTTATAAACTGTTTATAAGTGGCCAAATTTATAAAGCGTTAAATTAAAATTGGACAATTTAGCAATCTAAGCATCATTAACTGATTGATTTCATATTAATAGAGCTTTGAAACTATAAAGATCAGAGAATCGGAAGTTCCCAAGTCCGGCTAAAATCTTTTGTATGCCATGTCACGCTTGACATACTGACCTTCTAAAACGTCATTGACTGTTTACTTGCCATGCCTACATGTTTTTCAGTGCGTATGAAATTATTCAAAATGGCATTTTTTATTCTGCAGCATTTTATATTGGGGTAAGTCTTAATTTGATATAAAATTTAATGAGACGTTACCGTTTTATGTAATTGCTATATGCTATACCGGATGAACTGTTTTGGATACAAAAATTTTCAAATGTATTAAATTTTTTTCATTAAGGGCTTGGGCTGTTTAAGTTTTAAAATCTTTTTTCTCATATTGACTGCTTGCTTAAATCAGCTCTGCATAAACGTTTGGAATCTTTTCTATTGGTTAACAAATATTTCTAAGTAAAAGAGAGTAGTGAATTATTCAAGATTGGCTTAGAAAGCTCAGCTATTACAGTAAACAAAAGTTATTTCCCTTAGAACGTATAAAAAAGTATGCCTGAACAAGTTACGGAAATGAATTGACCTAATTTTAAAAAGCTTTTATTTTATTATTTATTCATAGCCGAAAGATCATTAAAAGGATATTTTTTGCAAATGTTTAGTTTTCAAAGCGTATTTTTGATGAAGTGGTCAATATTGTTGTAATGAAAGAAAGAAATAAGTACCCATTGGTGGCTAATGGGCAAATGCATGAATATTAGAGTTTCAGCCCAGTGACATCTTATATAGCGTTATGGACCTCAGGCAAAACCAGGAAAACTGGAGCCTGTATAACAACCACTCCACAGAAATGCTTTAAATAAAATTAGCATGGGGTCCCGGTAAATCCAGTGCAGGTTGTTTAAGATGGCCCTGGTCCAACCTATGTTTACTTTCCTTTAACAGCTGGCTTAACGAGTGTTCTTATCGTTGGATAAGTTCGTAAAAATTCCTTATAAATCTCTTAAGTATTTAGTCTCTCCTCCTTTTCTTAGACTTGCATTCATTGTAAAGACCAATATGTATTGAAAACTTTTCAGCGAATTTAAAAGAATGGTAGAAACTAAAAATGATAATAATATTATAAAAAAAAATATAAGAATGTTGAATTACTATCAGTAAAATAAGTTAGGATATCATGTTCAGTATGAAAAATTGTGACAGTAAATTCTTTGAGGACCCTGTAGTTTAATTTTATTTAAATTCATGAAATAGCTATTGGAATATCTATTTCTTATTCCATATTTTAATGTAGAATAAAACCACTTTAATGAATTTTTTAAATTATTTTTGGGTGTAGCTACTGTGTATATATTTCTTATTTGTTTAGGTTTTCTTTTTATATGAATGTTTATTTAAAAAAATTCTGATATACGCCTCCTAGTGAAAGAGTTCTGTATTATTAAAATATCTTTTAACAATTAGAGTGAATTTATAATTGACTACAAAGTCCCTTGCTTCCAGAACCAATTCAGTCAGCATGAATTGATCCGTTCTTAGCAGTCATATCCGAATGAAACTTTTTTTTGTAAAAAATTAAGCACCTATTATGATTTTTTACACTTATATATTTTTTAAAAGTTTCTTTTTGTAAGTTAATTAGTTAAGTTTTTTGAATTGGTATTAAATTGAAATAAAAACCCGATGATGAAAGAGTGAATTTAATGCAAAAGGACGAGGCAAAAAAAGGAGAAAATATTAATGTCAAATTAATGCAGGATTCCAGATAAGGGATCCTTATAATAGAAATTAGGGAGGCAAGAATAAATTTTTAAGAATATTTCCTTATTAGTTTGTTATATAAGTTCTGACTTTCTCTTTATCAATGTATACAAAAACTGAAGTTATCCCATGCATATCTTATTAATAAGAATTTTTAATTTTTTTTTTAAATATTATAAGAATATTTTTATTTTTTAAATGTTAAATTCTGTATATAGAAATTCATGTAGAAAGCTGTTATTAAACTTTTTTAAACATTAATTCGGATATGTATATAACTAATATTTTATTTATTAAAAATTTTGGACTTAGAAATATTTTCTATATCTTACAATTTATAGTTAAATTCTTTCATAAATATGTATATTTATTTCCTAGAAATTGCACAAGAGCTTGGAAACATTTATAGCAAAAGAAACTTCTAAATATTATGATCAAATAGATTTGAAAGCAATAAAAGTAATACAAGATGCCGAGAGTACTGAGATCGATCAACTTATAGAAAAGTGGGCTAAAGCTTTTAAAGAGGTAATTCTTTTTCCAAATAATTAAACCATTTATTGTAATGATTTAAAACTGGGAAGTTAGAAGTTATGATATTGTATATGCTTATATTGATGTCATTTAATAACTAATTATCATTTGAAACTAGAAGGCCTTTTAGCGGTCATGTATATAAGATTGTTGAGCATGACTAATTCAACTCATGTTCAAATCCTGAAAAATGCATGGTTGGATGGGCATTTGTGTGATTTTTCTGATGTGTTGTATAAATATGAGCCTGTTTCCTAAAAAGTGCTTGATGAAATCTTTCTACTCTTAAGCTTACGCATATCTTTTTATATTCAGTTAAACAAAATAGTGAAATTAGAAGAATATTTCATATATATATATAATTACAATTCTTTTGAAAACCAAATATAAACATGCCTGGTATTTTCGTGCATTAAGCAGCAGAAAAAATTATCACTAAATATATACAGTGGTGGCCAAAATTGTGGACACTTTTGGAAATTTTTATGTTTTTGAAATTTGTATGCTTATAGAAAAGTTATGTTTCACAAAATGCAAACTTGTATATATCATTTTAAAGAGAATTTATTACTGAATTCAATACAAAATTCAATTATTTTCAATACAAAAAAAGTTAAACGATAATAGTTATCGATATACATTAGATAGTGATGATTGCAGTGAGTTATCAGTACTTAGTAGGGTACCCTTTATTTTTGATTACAGCTTCACATCGACGTTTCATTGAGCTGAAAAGAGTTTTCAGCTCTTCTTTCGTTATTACATGATGCCAGGAAACAATTATAGCCTCAATTAGTTCCCTTTTATTTGATGGGCGCCTCATTTGGACAAGAGTTTTCAAACGGTGCCGCAAATTTTCGATAGGATTGAGGTCAGGACTGTTTCCTGGCCATGACAACAATTTAATGCTCTTTGTATGAAACCACTCTTTCAATATTTTGGCCGTGTGGCAAGGAGCAAAATCCTGCTGAAAAATAAAGGAAGCATTGTTGGGAAAGAGATCTCTGATGGAAGGTAGAAGTTTTGGTTCTAGATAGTGTCAATGTATTTTCTTGCATTCAGTGTCCCATCGATGACATGAAGGCAACCAATACCAAATCATAACACTAACTGGGTTTTTCACAGTTGCTTGAATGCAGTCAGGATGTAGCTCTTTTCCTATTCTACATCTTACATATTTCGCCGCCCATCACTACCGAATAACGATATCTTAGTTTCATCACTCCATATAACTTGTGACCACTGATCATTCTGTCCAATTAATGGTGTTCCTTTGCCCACTGTAGTCTTTTTTTTTTTTTTTTTCGTTGCTGAAAATTAAGATAAGGCTTTTTTCGTGGAATTCTACCTCTCCAGTCCAACATCTGTTAATCTTCTCCTTATTGTTCTTAAACTGACAGAAACACCAGCATCATTCAGATCACTTCTGATGACTGCTGATGACATTTTTTCTATCTTGGAGACATAGTTTTTTTAGTCTTCTGTCATCAATAGATGTGGTGCACCTTTTTCGGCCTTTTCCTTCTTCTTGGTTTTTATTGAATTTGTCTCCTGATATCGTAAACAAAACTTTTGGACTCCAGATGCAGTCACTAAACCACCCATCTGTCTTGCAATTTCAGCATAGGAAAGACCACTTTTTCGTAACACAATAATATTACATATCTTTCTAGGTGTCCAATCTACTCTTTTATTTCATGTCATTGCTTCTTGACTAAATATTAAACATTTTTACAAAAATTCCTACTTGTAATTGCAGTGTATAAGAAACAGGTTCTCCTTCTACAGAACAAAGCAAAATAATGAATTGTTTCAAGTGTAAACATGATGTCAGCTTCTACTGGCAGTTACTAACATTTGATTGGTTCTCAGAACAAGAACAGTGATTATCCAGGAAAGCTAGACATTACAAACCATTTCATAACTGTGTTTTATTTTTTTATTAAAGTACATTTAACTTTTTTTGTATAGCAAATAATTGAATTTTGTGTTTTGTATTGAATTCAGTAATAAATTCTCTTTAAAATGATATACAGTCAGAAGTCGTTAATCCGGACTCGGGACTTCAGCGATTCCGGATTATTGATTTTTCTGGATTATAGATCATCAGTTTAAATCTGGTAAGATGACATGCAGAAATTATAAAATTAAAAATATGAAACTGTAATTTATGAAATAAAGAACAATTATGATCTAAAGGGGTATCAAAATTTAAAAAAAAAAATTAGGCTTAATATTTATTTGCTTACTTTATTAAACATTTCTTTCAATGTAAGTTGTTTAAGTTGCTTCGTTTTTTATGTGATAATATTCTCTTTAATTCTATAAACAGACATAATTTTTTTGTTAAGTTACAAAGTTCCGCTGTTCCAGTCCTATAATTGCTGTGTCGAGAATACCGACTAATTTGTCAGACGAAATTTTTTCGTTTTCAATAACCTCTGTCACTTTCTTCGCTATCGGAAGTGAATTATAATGACGAGGAATTTGATTTAAATCATATCAAAGACAGAGTACATCGAGATGAAATACTACATTTAGTAAGGAAATATAAGCCAAATAAAATAAAAACATCTGCCCTGAAGATAAGGATAGTACTGACAGATCAACTTCCAATACATTGCGCGCCGCTGTGTTAAAGATAAACAAAGTTTAGATAAACAAAGGATATGCCTTTATCCATTTTTTGCAGCAATTCCACTTTTTGTTTGATGGACTTCGAAACTTACTTTCGCTTTGTAGATCCTTTACATATTAGTAAAATATGTAGATCCTTTACATATTAGTAATAATATCAGAAATTCTATTTGACATAATTGAAAGTTCAAGCTTACTTTTATAAAATTGCTGTAACAGTCTGCAAAAAATAATAAGCCGAATCCAATTCGAAGATTAAGGAACAACGCAATCTGCAACATTAACTGAATTAGATACTTTTAGCTTAGCTTATACCGTCCATTATACATTAAACGTGCGTTCATAAACGTATTTTGTGCACACGCACATGCGTATTCGCAGCCGTAAAGGTCTTACGCGCATGCGTCAATGAGACGCATGCGCTGAGAGTTTGTAGCTTTGAGATCCGGATTATGGGTGTCCGAATTAACGACTTTTGACTGTATACAAGTTTGTGTTTTGTGAAACGTAACATTTTCTATAAGCATACAAGTTTCAAAAACATAAAAATTTCCAAAAGTGTCCACAATTTTGGCCACCGCTGTATATACAGTACAAAGTCTTTAATCCGGACTCGTCGGGACTTCGGCAATTCCGGATTAGGCATTTTTCCAGATTATAAATCATCAATTTAAATCTGGTAAAATGGCATACGGAAATTATAAAATTAAAAATATGAAACCATAATTTATGAAATAAAGAGCAAATATGATCTAAAGAGTATCAAAATTTACAAAAAAAAAAAAAAAAAAAAAAAAAAAAACACTTAATATTTATTTGTTTACTTTATTAAACATTCTTTCAATGTAAGTGTTTAAGTTGCTTCGTTTTATGTGCTAATACTTTCTCTTTAATTTTATAAACAGACATAATTTCATGTTCAGTTACAAAGTTCCGTTGTTCCAGTCCTGTAATTGCTGTGTCGAGAATACCGACTAACTTGTCAATCGAAATTTTTTTGTTTTCACTAACCTCTCTATCACTTTCTTCATGCCTTTATTCATTTTTTTGCAGCAATTCCACTTTTTGTTTGATGGACATCGAAACATACTTTCGCTTTGTAGATCCTTTGGCAGCTTCAGAATCGGAAACTCTTTTTTGACATAAAGTTCAAGCTTACTTTTTATAACATTGCTCTAATAGTCTGCAAAAAATAATAAGCCGGATCCAATTAGAAGATTAAGGAACAATGCAATCTGCAACATTAACTGAAATAGATAATTAGATAATTTTAGCCTAGCTTATACCATCCGTTATACATTAAACACACATGTGTAAACGTATTATGTGCATGTGTAAATGCTACGCATGCTCAGAAAGTTTGTATCTTTGAGGTCCAGATTATAGATCATTCTGGATTATGGACATCCGGATTAAAGACTTTGTACTGTATATATGTTTGTGTGTCTGTGTGTTGATAAGAGAGAAGGTTATAAATAACTTTTATGTAATTTACATCTAATGAAGATTGCTTTTTCTGACTGTATTTAGATCGCTTTCATTATCAAGCAGGTGAGCTGGTGTTAGATATGTTTATAAAAATTTCTGTCTTGATAATTGCTTCATGATATTTAAATAAACATATTTCTTTTAATAAATTTTGGAATATTTATTAGTCATATGATTTAATTTTTGAAGAAATGGATCAAATTTCTGCTTAAACTGTGCAAAATATTCGGAATTTATATTTTATTTTAAATTATAGGTCAAAATTGTTTAGTGGTTTTCTGAGAAGGTTTCTTCTGAAAGGGTCCATCCCCCCCAGATCTGCGCAAAAATTTATCTTGTGTCTCATAACAATTAGAATGTGTACTTTCTAATTATCCACACGATTTCACAAAAAATACTTTTATATGGCTATCTTTATGTTTCACAGTTAAGCTTACCATAATATTTTTTTTGTTTAAACCTGAACAATTTGGAGAAAATATTCACATCAGAAAATAAAATAAGTGCAGAATTGAACAGGTTAAATAAAGAAGTTGTTAATAAAAAACAGCAATGAGTTAAAAGAAATTTTTAATAGCTGAATTGAACATACCTTATTATTTATGTTCCTTTTTATATAAAGTTATTAATATTTGTCACTAGTGTGAACTTTAGAAATTTTTGTTATTTTTAATTGCATCCGAAAATCACTGCCAATTTAGCAACTTAGTAAAGCTTTTATGGTTGATTTAGCTATTTGCCTCTTTCTTGAGACCATATGGTGGTGTGGTGTGGTGTGGTGTATTTAATTATGGCAAAGCACTCGAGGGCTATCTGCCTAAAGGGAGGGATGCCTTTCGTGGAGGACTTTCTAAGGGAAACTGGCTCGT